AAAATATTAAAATATTATATTAAATATTTAATAATGTAAATCATTATTAATTATGATTTAATTTTACTTAGGCAAAGTTCCTAGATTTTAAAATCCAAAATATGGTCGGCAGCTGTGATGTTAAGTTTCCAATTAGATTAGAAGGTTTAGTACTCTCTCATGGCCAATTCTCGTCATATGAACCAGAGCTATTTCCAGGTCTAATATATAGAATGGTTAAACCTCGAATTGTATTGCTTATATTCGTTTCAGGAAAAGTAGTACTGACAGGTGAGTGTTCACACTTTATATTATAATATCTTTATAATATCTGTATAATAATTTATAGTTATATGTATAATTTTGTAGTAAAGTATATACGTGTTGCAAAACATTTTGGGAATATTTTTAAAGTCTTACAATTTTCAAATATAACTCATCCAGACCTGTGTAAGAATTTGGAAATTAAGCTTGGAAATTATTACATATTTATACTTAAATAATTATTGTATGTTTATATATGTCATCAGGTGCAAAAATTCGCAAAGAAATTTATGAAGCCTTTGACAACATCTATCCAATCTTGAAGAGTTTTAAAAAGCAGTGAATCTACATATTAAATTACAAAAGAAAAACTATGTATTTTCTTCTATAATTTAATATGACAATTTATTTCCAATCAACTCCATTTCTAATAGATTTTAATTATTTTTTTGTAATATATAAAGTCATGTAGATGAGCAAATTATGTTAATGTTGAGTTATTAAATATCTTTATTAAGTTCAACACATACAGGATGTCTTAAAATTGTTGGATATTCTTACTGTAAATCGTTTCTAGTTTCTATGAAACTGATCTTTTTTTTAATAAAAACTTGACGCACATAATTTTTTAATAATGAGCGTTGAAAATAAACATTTTTATTAATCAGATTATGAAAGAGAAAATAGGTGAAAAAATATTCTTCCATTCAGTTGTAAGTTTCTATGAAATAAATTCTTCAATCACTGAAGATGACGAGATCATCTTTATCATTGAATGAAAAAACTGCGATAAAAAAGTATCCACTGATTTTAGGGCATAATGTACAAAGCAATTGACTTATACAGATTAGATAATTTATAAAATATATGTCCGTTCATTTCTTCATAAAAAATATTAATTTTTTCAATATGTAAAAAGCAAACAGAGTGAAGGTACAACTTGTGTAATCTTACAACGATTTTGTTTTCACATTAGCTGCGTTCAGCGGACTCAATAGTTGAGAGAGCATTCACTCAACTGTTGAGTCTGCTGAACGCAGCCATTTATTAAATCAATTAATTGATTAATTGATGATAACTGAAATTCTAAAAAAATACATATAAAAATTATGTACATTGTAACCAGAAGTTTCTAAACCTTCCCTTTTTGCCTTCCTTAAAGATAATAGTGCATATAATTCTATATTTACAAAATAGTATCTTCTAGTAATACAGTGCCTCGAATAAGATTACATGAGTGATTAATGTGTATTTATCAATTTTAATTCTTAGCAGATACTGTATATTAAATAAGGAAGGAAAGTGCAGATACTGAAATGAGATTTTATAAATCCCATCATCCCATAAAATTCTAATTATGTAATAGAAAATATTAAAAGATTTATCATTATGTTTTATGATTATACTTTATGATATGATGTATAATATGATGTATAATTAATCAATAAAACTTTTTTTTTATTTTAAGTATTATATGTATTATAAATAGACATTTCAAAAAAATGTATATCTGCTAAGAGTTATTATTATATACATGTACACTTGGAAAAATTGTTATAATAATTTTCTCCAGTTCAATTGCTATTTATTAAAAGTAATTTGATATACAAATTTCGTCTTTTGAATGAGTATTACAATCATCCTTAATATTTTCTCAGCAAAATTATTATTTTTTTAATTATAAAATCTATTTCATTTATCAGAAAGCTCTTGAAATTGTTCAATTACATAGCAAAATTATACGACAGTATAAGGTCATCGAACTAAAACTTTCAATTCTTGAAAAAAATGCAGAAAAAGTAATTTTTTGCTAATATTAAATACTTATAATAGAATTTACTTGACTTATTATAAAAGGCTTAATATTTTTGTAAATCCATTTCGAATAGAATGTATATAAAAAGAAAAACTCACAATTAGTTTTTAAATACATGAG